ATACATTACACAGTGCTGACCATGATAAGTATAGTTGCCGTTGGTCAAATGCAAGGTCACTACAGTATTATTATTATTATTATTATTATTATTATTATTTAAATTTATTTATTTTGAGAGAGAGAGAGAGGGAGAGAGACAGTGAGTGGGGGAGGGGCAGAGAGAGAGGGGGAGAGAGAGAGAATCCCAGGCAGGCTCTGCACTATCAGTGTGAAGCCTGATATGGGGCTCAAACTCACAAACAGTGAGATCATGACCTGAGCCGAAACCAAGAGTCGGATGCTCAACGGACCGAGCCACCCAGGCGCCCTGGTCACTACAATATTATTGGCTATATTCTCTATGTTGTACTTTTCATCTCATCTTTCATCTCTCTGACTTATTTTATAAGTGGAAGTTTTGTCTCTTAATGCTCTTGACCTATTTTTGTCCATCCTCCCATCTCCCCTCCTTCTGGCACCACCAGTTTGTCCTCTATATTTATGAGTCTGCTTCTTACAAATCTGTTTTGATGGCTGTCGGTTTTAGAAAATTCTCATCCATTATTTCTTTTGAATTTATCTCCCTCTCCTCTCCTGGCTCTCCAGTTACACTTTGGTTAGATTTTTTCACCGTATCTCAGACGTTTCTTATACTTTTTCTTGTATATTTCCATCCTTTTCTTTTCTTTTTTTTAAGTTTATTTATTTTGAGAGAGAGAGAAAGTGCATGCGTGCAAGTAAGTGGCAGAGGGGCAGAGACAGAGAGAGAGAGAGAATCCCAAGAAGGCCCTGCCCGGTGTAGAGCCCCGTGTGGGGCTCAATCTCACGACCGCAAGATCACAACCTGAGCTGACATCAGGAGTTGGATGCTTTTTTTTTTTTTTTTTAATTTTTTTTCAACGTTTATTTATTTTTGGGACAGAGAGAGACAGAGCATGAACGGGGGAGGGGCAGAGAGAGAGGGAGACACAGAATCGGAAACAGGCTCCAGGCTCCGAGCCATCAGCCCAGAGCCTGACGCGGGGCTCGAACTCACAGACCGCGAGATCGTGACCTGGCTGAAGTCGGACGCTTAACCGACTGCGCCACCCAGGCGCCCCTAGGAGTTGGATGCTTAACCCACTGAGCCACCCAGGCACCCTCATTTTTGAAATATATGTTTTTTATTAAGTAAACTCCACACCCGACATGGGGCTTGAACTCAGACCCTGAGATCAAGAGTCACATGCTCTACTGACTGAGCCAGCCAGGTGCCCCACTTTTGTTTTTCTGTAATTCAATCTGAATATTTTGTTCTGCCTTATCTTCCAGTTTTCTGATTCTCTTTTCAGTGGCATAAATGGCTTTTATATCTTTCCAATGAGTTCAGTTCCAATTTTTCAGTTATTTTATGTTTCATTTTTACAATTGTCCTTTGGTTCTTAAAAAAATCCAGTTTCTCTGATAACTGTTGCTGCATAATGAACGACCCCAAAACTTAGTAGTTTAACATTTTTTTTTCAACGTTTTTTATTTATTTTTGGGACAGAGAGAGACAGAGCATGAACGGGGGAGGGGCAGAGAGAGAGGGAGACACAGAATTGGAAACAGACTCCAGGCTCCGAGCCATCAGCCCAGAGCCCGACGCGGGGCTCGAACTCGCGGACCGCGAGATCGTGACCTGGCTGAAGTCGGACGCTTAACCGACTGCGCCACCCAGGCACCCCTAAAACTTAGTAGTTTAGAACAACAGCGAATGTGCTAGCTTGCGATTGTGGCTGGGCTCACTGGATCGTTCTTTTGGTTTCTGCTTGCGTCACTCATGCATATATGGTCAGCTGTCAGGTTGGCTGGGGATGGCAGCAGATCTAGGGTGGCCTCAGTTGTGGTTGTTTCCCTTCGCTCTGTGTGATCTCTTATCTTCCAGCAGGCTATCTTAGACTTGCTAACACGTCAGCTACACAAGGCTCCCAGAGAACAAGTAGAAATGGGCGATGCCTCTTCAGACATAGGCTTAGAGTCGGCACAACCTCATTCTTGCTGCAATGTATTGCAAAGGCCAGCCCAGTTACAGGAGATAGGGAAATGAACCCCATCTTTTGACGAGGGGAGGAGCTACAAAGTCACATTGCAAGGGGCATGGCCAGGTTTGCATTCTATCACACTGATTTTCTGCTGAAATTTTCAAACTTTAAATTTTAATTCCTTGAAACATTAAACATAATTACCTTAAAGTTTATGACCGATACTTCTGTTATCTAGATGCCCCTTGAGCCTGTTTCTATTGCCTGTATTTTCTTTTGGGTTTTGGACACGTTTCCTCTTCTTATGCTGGCTTGTTTTTTTATTTCATTTTGGACACTATGCATTAGAAATAACTTAATGCCCGTGTCGATGTTATTTTCCTCCAGGAATAACTTACATTTGCCTCTAGTAGACAGCCAGGTCAGAAATACTGGAAATTCTAGATCACTTTAATCCAGTTCAGAGTTGAGATCATTCAAAACTAGGCTTCAGTTCCTGTGAGATCTTGTCTACTTCTTGTTCACTGTTACTCTCAGAGTGTAGCTCTTCATGGTACTACCACCAAATCTGTTGGATTTTAGGTATACCCACTTCTTAACACGAGGTCCCTGAACCCCATGTTCTTTTAGTTCCTTGAGTTTACTGCAAACCTCCAGGGATAGAAGCAAAAAATGCTGGTCTTACCTCTCTGAGTTTCCTTCTTCCAGATCTTGGCTCCATAATATTTCACTGTTTTATTAGCTCCCTGATGCCTTTAGCAACATGCTTTTATATTTTGCTCATTTTTTTTTTTCCTAGTTTTTCTTTGTGGGAGGGTTGGTTAGCATGTATTAATGTGGTCTTTCATTATTAGAATTAGAATTCTTTAGGGGCACCTAGGTGGCTCGGTCGGTTGAGCGTCTGACTTTGGCTCAGGTCATGATCTCACGGTTTGTGTGTTCGAGCCCCGTGTCAGGCTCTGAGCTGTCAGCACAGCATGTTGGAGCATGCTTCGAGTTCTGTGTCTCCCTCTCTCTCTCTGCCTCTCACCCCCTCATGCTGTCTCTCTCTCTCAAAAATGAATAAACATTAAAAAATAAAAAAGAATTCTTTAGATGACTTTCTTAACTCTTCAGTGTATGCTGTGAAATAAAAGTATGTTCTGCTCTCAGATCACAAACCCTCTGGAGTCAGGAAGCATGTCTTAAACACAAAGAGGCCCCACCTCTTCAGGGCCCTGGTCACACTGGGGATTGTAACCAGTGGGGATTGTTCTCAGGATCTCTGTGCAATATTTGATAGGTTGGCCTGTTCTCATACATAGGACCATAGGAGACAAAGGCACAATGTCTGTTTCAAGTTTGGCAATGGGCTGAGCCAGTTCAAATCATGAGACTATGCATAAGAATCCCATGTGTTTTCTTTGTTCTTGTGTTTTTTTAAAGATTCTTTTTTAAGAAAAAGTAGTATCTACACCCAACACAGGGCTCAAACTTACAACCCTGAGATCACGAGTCGCATGCTCTACTGACCAAGCCAACCAGGTGCCCTGGAACCCTATGTGTTTTGTTCATAGGAGTGTCAAGATCAAAGAAACACAGTCTATCAACCAAATAGTAATTAAACTTTCTTTGATTATTTACTCCGGCTCCTGAGGAAATGCCAAGGTGAAGGTGTGGTTGGGAGTGAGGGCATTTATAATGCACGTAAGACATCTAAAAACCTCCTTCTCCCTCGCTTTCCCCTCAATGTCCTCTATGTTAACAGATTTGTTTGTATAACAATCCCCATGTCTTACTCTCTCTTCCAAATTCTTTCTGACCCTCTCTGGCAGACCTTTTTATTTCCTGCATCCACGGGGCCATGCCACATAGCTCCCCTGCCAAAAATGGCCACTGAAACTTCTGTTTTTCTTCACTGACAGCACTAGGCTTTCCTAGGTCAGGCAACAGCAAGCAGCTCTGTCACACCCCTGTTAATTAGCATACATCTCGATCCCTGTGGAGGACAAGTGCTGGGATATACCAAGGCAGTGTGCTTTTATTTTTCTCTAATTCTCCTTTTTTTCTTAAAAAAATTTGTTTTAATGTTTATTTATTTTGGGGAGACAGAGAGACAGAGTAGGAGAGGGGCAGAGAGAGAGACACACACACAGAATCTGAAGCAGGCTCCAGGCTCCGAGCCGTCAGCACAGAGCCCGATGTGGGGCTTGAACCCAGGAAGCGCGGGATCACGACCCAGGCCGGAGTCGGACCCTCAACCAACTGAGCCACCCAGGCGCCCCTTTCTCTAATTATTCTTTAGGGATCAATCCCCATGGAGACTTTCTAGGGACTAGAAACTTGGCAAACATTAGTAAGTAATGACCACAGTTTGATGTGCTAAGTGCTACCAGAGAGGGTTATGAACCTCGCTCTGTGGGAGGACAGCGGAGCGAGCTATGGATTCAGCTTGGAAGGCCAGGCTTACTGGGTGTGGCCCTTCAGAATTTCCAGCAGTCACCGATGGCCAGTAGTGGCTGCCTCAGCACCGCAGGGAGGGAGTCAAGTCGGATATGGTGTTTGTAACATTGTGGTTAAGAGCCCATCCTGTAAAAGCAAATTGAGTGGATTTCAAGCTCATTGTTCTTACCGTGTAGCTTGGGCTAGTTGCTTTTAAGTTCTTTCTAACTCAGTTTTTTTTTTTTTTTTCACCTGTAAAATGGGGATAAAACTCTCATAAGGTCACTGTTAAAACATGTAGTTAAATATAGTTAAAGCACATGAAGTGTTTAAAATCTGCTGCCCACAGTAAGAAGTCGAGAGAGTTTAGCTATTATTACTGGCCGGTGGGCTCCTTTAGACAAGTGGCACAGAGCTTGGGGAGAGGGGAGGCTGGAAAGGGAAGTACACTTCTAGGCTCTCTTAGCCTCTGGTGTCCTCATAGGTGTCCCCATCTTCTTGCCACAAGGGAAGTCCCATCCGATTGCCCACAATGTTCAGGGCTGATGCCTTTCCTACCTCCTCCAGCCTGAGTTCTCTTCTCTGGAATCCCTAGATTCTGCTAAACGTGTGGTTGGACTCTCAGGAACATGTCTCCGGTTATGGCCTCCCACGACACTGGCAAAGAACATAGAATCTGTTCAATGGAAGAGGCCGGGGCCCTCACCTTCAGAATTTTCTGTGATACTGACATGGAAGTGTGGGTCTAATTATTGCAGCGATAAAAATTGGACTTTGAATCATCTCAACAAAAGATTCGGTTTTATAACCCAGAACTTAAGTCTCACCATCCAGGCAGCTCAGCAGCAGGACAGCGGCTTCTACATCTTTGAGGCGACTGATGAGCATGGAAAAGTTAAGAACTACACGTTCCAGGTTTCTGTGTTTGGTGAGTCCCTAGAACAGCGCAGCCTGCCCCTCGGACTCCTGTAGGACTTTTATTTCCAGTGCCTTTCTGATCAGAATCTCTGCTTCCAGATCACGTAGGGGAGCCCCACGTACTACAGGACTTGAAGGACCTGGAGGGAGGGAGGTGCCAAGTGACTCTGTCCTGCTCGGTCCCCAGCGGTGATAACGTGAGCTATGATTGGTATAGAGGGAGCGTGCTGATCGAGACAGCAAGGAATCACAGCACGCTGGAGGACCAGATCGATGCCAACAGCTCGCACATATATACCTGCAATGTCAGCAACTCGGTCAGCTGGACAAACCGCACCTTCATCCTGCAGTGTCCGGGTGACTCCCAGCGTAAGTGGAGCACTTTGGGCTCTAACAGGGGCTGAAAGTGTTGGACCCCATAACCAGGCTCATGCCCGACATACCTGGGCATGAGATCCCTTGGCTGCCTTGCAGCATCTCCTTGGGGCAGTCCTGGTCTCTGGGCACACAGTTCCCATAAACCAGGCTTATCTTAGTCGGGATGAGTTTCATCCCCATCAAGCATCTCCCAGAAGATTCGAGTTTTTCCTTCATTTTAGGGAATGCTGGTCTGTTTGATGAGTCACAGCCCTGCTATGGCTGCTGATTATCCCTTCCTGGGAGAGACTGATGGGGAACCTGTTTCCTCCTCCCAAGTGATAACTCCCCCAGGCCATGTAGTTCCCCAAGAGGGAACAGCAGTGTCCTGGGGCAGGGGAACATCAGGATGGCGACAGGGGTTCCTGGAAGAGTTCTTGGTTTATTGCTTATGCACATCCTAAGAGTTACCCTGAGTTAAGTTTGCACCGATTTTTATCAGATAAAAATGTTCCATCAGCACGGGCGCAGCAGGTAAAAACCTACCTGCTGTCTCTGTCCTTAAAGAGCTTACAGCCCAGCAGGGGCCACAAAACTAGGCATTCCTGGACAAAAAAGAAATGAGCAAGCCGAAGTGATTTGGAGTGACAGGGACACTGGCTTTTGGGTCATGTCAGCTGTGGTTTCATGATTCACTAGCTCTGTGATCTCAGGCAGTTTCCCCAACCTCTCTGAGCCTCAGTTTTTCTGCCGGGTAATGGGGGATGATAACAGGTACCTGGCGGGACTGCTGGTAAGATTAGATGAGGTAATGCTTGTGAAGAGCACGTAATTCCTTTCCGTTCTCCCCTTGCGGGCGGGCTGATCCAGCGGGCGGCATGCGCGACACTGACGTTAAATGTGGAAGTTCGAATGAGGAAGAGCAGCGGAGGCGGGAGGGGCAGGAAGGGGAAATGGGAGAATTTTCGCGGCACGTAGTGGGGTGCAATACGTTCTGTTGAGTTAACAAAAGAACGGACAGATGTAACATATGCCGTGCACATATCAGATCATGTGGTCAACCCCCTTATGTAGATGACATTATCTCCTTTTTAAAAAAGCGTTTGTTTATTTTTGAGAGAGGGAGAGAAGGTCAGCGGGGGAGGGGCGGAGAGAGAGAGAGAGAGAGAGAGAGAGAGAGGGAGACACAGAATTCGGAGCAGCCTCCAGGCTCTGAGCTGTCAGCACAGAGCCCGATGGTGGGGCTCGAACCCACGAACCGCGAGATCACGACCTGAGCCGAAGTCAGACGCTTAACTGACTGAGCCTCCCAGGCGCCCTGCCCCTCTCCTTTCTTTAAAAAAAAAAAAAAAAAAGTTTATTTATTTATCTTGAGAAGGAAGCAAGAGCACAAGTGGGGGAGAGGCAGAGAGAGAGGAGAGAGGGAGAGAGAGAGAGGGAGAGGGAGGGACAGGGAATCCCAAGCAGTGTCTACACCGGAAGTAAGGAGCCCAACGTGGGGCTTGATCCCACGAACCGTGAGGTCACGACCTGAGCTGAAGTCGAGTCAGACGCTTAACTGACTGAGCCCCAGGTGCCCCAACATTGTCTCCTTTTGTAAGTGAGAAAATGGAGGCTCAGCGAAGTTAAGGGAGTTGCCCAAAGGCACGGAGCCAGGCCTGTGAGACAGTAGTATCCACGCTCTTAGCACCACTCGGGGGAGGTCACGCTCTTAGCATCACTTGGGGGAGGTCACCCCACTGCACAGAGAGCCAGCCTTGCTGACAAGCTCAGCGGGGCCTGAGAGAGGAGTGTGGGTCTGAGGCAAGTCCCGTGTCAGACGGGAAGGGAGGAGAGAGAAGGCTGAGTGCTCAGGCCTCACGCGTCCATGTCCCCAGAGGACAAGTCTCTGCACTTGTTGGTGATCATCGTGGTCCTTCTAATCACGCTGTTCCTGGGCGCCCTCACCGGCTTCTGTGTGTGGAGGAGGAAGATGAAGCAGTCACGTAAGTGGAGGGTCCCCAGGACGTGCTGTTCCCCGACCTGCCATCCCCCAACGCATCCGCCTGGGAGCACAGCACCTGCTTCTCTTCTAGAGCGTTGGGACGTGTGTGCGTGCACGTGCGTGTGTGTGTGTGTCTGGGGGGCCTTTCTCCCAGCTCACGCCTTCCGGGGTTCCTCGAGGTGTATACAGCCCAACGTGCAGATTTACCTGCCGGTGGCCGGCTTGCTGGGGTGCTGCCCGGGGCCTGATGGAGTAGGTGTGTCGGGTGGTTGCTGGTCCCGTGCTGGCCTTCTGGGGAGAGCACCCGTCTGCCTCCTTTCTAGAACCTTTCTCGAGGTCTTGGCCACCTGGGCTGGAGGTGGGACCGTGCAACGCAGAAGCTTGGACAGGACGCCCTCGGGAGGTCTCTGCATCTCTGTCTCTGCTGCTTTTCTCTCACAGAGGACGGCACAGAGGAGTTTCTGACGGTTTATGAAGATGTCAACAACGTGCAAATCAAGAGGAATCAGGTACGGTACCCTAGGGCCCGGGGTGTCTCTTCACTAGCCTGGGAGATGCTTCTCGGGAGGATGGCCATCAGGAGCAGGGACACTAGTGTCTTTTCCAAGTGACCCGTGGCCTTTCCGTCCGTCTTCCCCACCAGCCTGCTAGCTCTGGCTGTGGAGGAAAAGCAGAAAACAAGAGAAAACCTGCTGAGAAGGACGGAGCCCGACAAATCCCCAGCAGACGGCGGAGCACCGCTCTTGCCTGGCCAAATGGTGCCCTGGCGTCCTCCTTTCTGCCCAGCCTCTCCAGCTGGGCTGAGCCCTGGGAAGAGTCCAGCTGTCTCGTATTTTGCGCCTGGCCACAGAGTCTCATGCCTTGCAAGTCCAAGTTTGCTTTTCTGGGTCCCTTGGCTGTCACCCAGGCTGCGGAGGATGCCAGGCCGACCAGCCAAAGCTTAAGAGCGTTGCAGCTGGCCCCGTGGTCTGCGTTCACGGCATTTTGGGAAGAGGCCTGAGTCCGGCTGAGGTGCTGGAGAAGGGAGCTAGGTTAGCACGAAGCCGCGAAGCCGGCGTGGCCTCCTTGGGAACCTCTCCAGCCAGCCTCGGCAGGCAGGGGCCAACTCCGCCTGGTCCCCGGGGGGGGGGGGGTGCAGCAGAGAAGGGAACTGCAGAACAGTGCAGGGTGCCCCCCACCGCTCTGCCCCTGGACAGGGCAGGAAGTGGTGACAGACCTGGGGGAAAGGCAGTGCCTAACCGAACTGCCCAGTGGGCAGGGTGGGGGGGGGGGGGTAGGAAGGCCCTCTTCCTATCCCCATTCCTGGAGCTCGGCCTGAGAGGGCAAGGCAGGAAGTCACAGGGGCTGGGCTCCTCTGCGTGAGGCCTTGTAGAACAGAGAAGCCACTTCCCTCAGGTCTGGGTTTGGGGGGAACCACGAATCGGGGCAGCTACCCCCGCCCCCGTTTCCTTGCTCAGCAGTGGAATAATGGGGTAAGAAACACAAAGGGTCTCTTTTCCCCCCATCACCACCATTTGCTGGGACAAATTCCTGAGGGCAAGTGTATCTGACTGCAGTCACTGAAGCCCATGCTCATGACAAATTGCCTCTCCTTTCAGTTAGGTCTATGAAGGAGAACAGAGGAAATCTATTTAAAACAATTTTTTTTAACGTTTTATTTATTTTTGACAGAGAGACAGAGATAGAGCGTGAGCAGGGGAGGGTCAGAGAGAGAGTGGGAGACCCAGAATCCGAAGCAGGTTCCAGGCTCCGAGCTGTCAGCACAGAGCCCGACACGGGGCTCGAACTCACAGACCCGCAAGATCATGACCTGAGCCGAACTCGGACACTCAACCAACAGAGCCACCCAGCCGCCCCCAGAGGAAATCTATTTAGAGTATAAGAAGCCCCTTGGGGGACTCAGGCTTGTTTCTCTGCTTCTGACTCAGGAGCGCCTCCCTCTGGGACCTCCTCCCTTGCTGGCTTTTCCCTCCTGGCTCCAGGGTTCTGTCTGCAGGCCTAAATCTCAAGTTCATGTGATCTTCCTCTGGGGCTCGCTTCTGACCTCTCTGCAGACACTTTCCTCAGGTCTGGGCAGAAAAGAAAAAGAGGAAGCTCCTGTTTCTTGCCAGATGCCCACAACTCTTTAGCCCTCCAAGACGGCTGCTGTTTTTTTGCTCTTAGCTTCTTCCTTGTCCAACGAGCCCTGCTGGCCTCCTCTCACTTCCTCATCAGAGCCCAGCTGGAAATATGTAGTCAGGAGTGGGCAGCACAAAACACCTTCAGCCCCGTCTCCTGTGGGCAGGAAGAGAACAGGAAAGGCACGCGCCTTTGGCCTTGTGTCCAGGACTTCATCCGGCTCCGTAGCTGCCCAGGCGCTGGCTGGAGGCCAAGGGCAGACTAGCTGCTAAGGCTGGATCTAGAGAGGGGGCTTTGAAACAGTGAAAACCTCTGAATGTGAAGGCCCTGACGTAAGGCTCAGAGCTCAGCCCGTTATCAATGGTTATGTGGCAAACGCAAGTTTCTAAGTTACCAAAGTAAAGGAAGTGGCAGGAGACCCCTTGGACAGGGTCACTCGGTGGGATCCCTTCACACCTGGGTGGTTCCTTGCACGTGACACTTAATGACTCCAGTGTGAGTTGCTTTTTCTACTGTTTTTCCCCATCCTGGGGTGATTAATGACCACCTCCTTCCAGGAGACCGTCTTAAAAAAATTTTTTTTTGTAATGTTTGTTTAGTTTTGAGAGAGAGATGGGGGGGGGGGGAGAGGCAGAGGGAGAGGGAGACCCAGAATCGGAAGCAGGCTCCAGGCTCCGAGCTGTCAGCACAGAGCCCGACGCAGGTCTTGAACCCATGAGCCGTGAGATCATGACCTGAGCCGAAGTCGGACACTTAACTGACTGAGCCACCCAGGGGCTCTTTTCTTTCTTTCTTTTTTTTAATGTTTACTTATTTTGAGAGAGAGAGAGAGGGAGAGAGCAGGTGGGGGAGGGGCAGAAAGAGAGGGAGAGAGAGAATTCCCAGCAGGCTCTGTGTCATCAGTGTGGAGCCTGACGCTGGGCTCGATCTCACGAACTGTGAAATGATGACCCGAGCCAAAATCGGAAGTCAGATGCTCAATAGACAGAGCTACCCAGGCCCTTCCCCCACCCCCCTTTTACAATTTCTTGTGCAGGAGCAGAAGCCGAATCCCCCTGGAGAAGGGAGCACCATCTACTCCATGATCCAGTCCCAGGTACGGTTCTGTTTTCTTGAATCCATTCCATACCTGTCTGTGGGGCTTCCTGATGCCTTTCGGAAGCTCGCGCTCTTGAACGGCGAAATAAGAGCCTGGTGCTCCTGGAGTCTGCGTTATGTTGGTGGAAAGATCCATATGGTTCTGAAGTACCTTGGCAGAGCTGAACAGAGCGGGGAAGACCGGTGCCGGCATTCTTTCTCTCTCCATGCCTGGCAGCAGGTGTGGCCCAGATAGTCAGCAGGAAGAGGGAGCTCGTCAGGGGACCCAGCTTCTGTTCTCCCTCCCTGCTACTGCCAATACTTGGGGCCCTTATAGTTTTTAAGAAAATCTCTGCTCTTCATTATATGTGTTTTCAGGAATGGATCTGGATTGTTCTCTTTTATTATGACTTCACGATAACATTTAGTAAGTCCTTACTATGTCTATTTTCACTCCTTTAAAGTTTATTTTATTTAGTTTGAGAGAGAGACAGAGAGAGAGCCCAGGATGGGCAGAGGGAGGGAGAGAGAGAGAATCCCAAGCAGACTCTGCACTGTGAGGGCAGAGCCTTACATGGGGCTCGAACTCATGAACAGTGAGATCGTGACCTGAGCTCAAGAGTCAGACGTTTAACCGACTGAGCCACCCAGACGCCCCCACGTCTATTTCCTTAATGAATCTCACAAAGCAGCCTCACGAAGTAGGTCTCACACAACCTCCATTTCTCAGATGAGGAAACAGACACAGGTTAACTAACGTGCCCCAGGCCACAGACTTGGGTGGTGGCAAAGCTGAGCTAAAGGGCTTCTGAGCCTCCACTCCACCTGCCCCTCCCCACCTCTAACATGCTGGGATTACAGACATTCGCCCCTAAACTGGAGAAACATCCTCTAATTTCGACAACTAAAACGACATTGCACCCTAGGCCAGGGTATCTCCTTCAAGGGTAACACTGCCTCTAGGTGGCAGTGATGAAAAGTCTCTGATAAAAATGGCTTAAGGGGCGCCTGGGTGGCGCAGTCGGTTAAGCGTCCGACTTCAGCCAGGTCACGATCTTGCCGTCCGTGAGTTCGAGCCCCGCGTCAGGCTCTGGGCTGATGGCTCGGAGCCTGGAGCCTGCTTCCGATTCTGTGTCTCCCTCTCTCTCTGCCCCTCGCCCGTTCATGCTCTGTCTCTCTCTGTCCCCAAAATAAATAAACGTTGAAAAAAAAAATTAAAAAAAAAAAAAAAAGAATTAAGTCCGGAAGGAGCAACCTCTCCAATTTGGTGGCTAAGCTGCGGGGCAGAGAAAATCCTTGGGGGATGGTGACAGGCTTCAGAGAAAGATCAAGAGAGGAGGAAGAGAGAAAGTGAATGGGGTAGAGGGGAAGGGAGGACAATGAGGGAAGAGGGGAGCGGAGGAAGAAGGGAGGGGAGGAAGGAGAGAGGTGCTCAACCCTCATGGCCACTTTGGAATTCCCAAGCTGGGCGTTTCCTCGTCCTGCTCCCCATAAGATAATGTGATTCCCTGGTAGTGGGTCCAAGTCAAAGCGCCTCCAAGAGAGATGTAAAATATCTGCCAGTTTTCTGGCTTTAGCCACATTGGATTCCCACGAAAGGAGTCTGAATATATGCAAGGAAGAGGTCATCCCAGACTGAGAGGTTGAGTGAGTGAGAAGGAGCCTCTTCTTCTGGAGTTCCTAGAAGGAAGACGGTTACCTGCCTCTGAGGACACCTGGTTCAGGCGCAGAAGAAGGAAGGCGTGTTGCCAAAGGGAGGCACTTGAGGGGCTGAGGACAGCGCTGTGGAGAGTCTGGGGTTTAAATTCTGCTTCTCCTGCGAACATACTGTCTGACTTGGACCATTTTCCCTTTAGGAACCTCGTCTGTCGAATGGGGCAAATGGTGATCGTTCCTATCACAGGGGTGTATTATAAGGGTTGGGGGGGCCCTACAGTACACAGTAAGTGCTGAACGGATAGCAGCTATGTTTACTGACACAGCAGGACCAGCATCCAGGCTGTCTGACCTCTTGGAGTCCAGGGCTCCTTTGAATAATATTTTCAGCTCTGTCCGGGCAGAACTGGGGGGAGGCGTGGAAGAGGTGACCTCCCTCCCTAGGATTGTCCTGGATCTATGCTTCTGAAATACTTTTACTTGTCTTCTCATTAGCCTTCTGCTTCCACATCACAAGAAGCAAACACCTTGTATGCATTGGTACAGCCTTCCCGGAAGGTGAGTCTTTTCCCGCAGGGGGTGCTGTGTATTTTGCGTGTGCACAGGCAGGTGCGCGTTTGCCGAGTGTGGTGTGTGTGCTTCCCTGTGAGTTGTCTTCTGCTGTGTGTGTATCTGAGCAGCTCGGGTTCAAGGGCTCTACTTAAATGTTAATGGGCTAACTAGAAGTCTATTTGGAGAAAAAGAACAGGTCGGAGTCTAAGAGAACGGTGGCTTAAAGGAGTGTCTCTAGGAGTTTCTGTGAGACAAGTACAATCAGAGACAGAAGGGCAGTGCTTTGTGCACAGGGACCATGGAGTCCTTAGCAGGTCAGCTGAGGCTATGGCGGAGAGAGACACCAGAGGGGTTACCAAGGTGGGAGAATATAGCCCAGAGCCAGAGGAGTAGTCAGGACCTAGAGAGACACAATGGTGACTTTCAGGGAACCAGAAAACGGCTCTGGCCAGTCATCTGCTGATGGAGGGCTCTAGGCTGAGGCAACCCGTCATGGTCCTCTCGAACCCTGCTCCAAGCTGAGCTCACAGGTCTTATGTGTACCTGGTGCCCATGGTCATCTTTTCACCTTGGGTGGGAGAGGGGTTGGAAGAATGGTATTTCCAAGGTTGGAGTCACAGTATGAAGACATAAACTTAACATGAGAGTATGGGAAGTCGGGAATGTGCCAAACTGCGGAAGTGTTGAGTACTTGCAGGTCAGGGTCAAATGGGGGGAGAGATTTCAAACAGGTTTTCAGGCTTTTTTATTCACTCTCCTTCCAATAAGCCGTTCAATCCACTTGGCTTCCACCTCAAGGGATATTTGTACTTAAGTTCTGGGCCGTAATACAAGGACATATGGATGGTCACAGGCACCAGGGTCACATGCTTGGTGTTGTTTGGGAGACTACATATTACTGAAAGTGCTTCTGAATTCCAGCGTTTCCAGTGTTTCGCCGTGGTCAGGGTCAGGGTAGGTGTTACGGTTAGTTCTCCCGTGTGTTCTAGAACTGCTTACGCCGCGGGGGTGTGTCTATTACATGTTGATGAGATGCATGGTCACAGGTGGTATTTGTATCAGGTCTGTCTGAAGACACGTGTGTATGTGCTGGGAATGTGTATACGTGCGGGCCTGAGGGGTATGTGGGTGTGGGAAGTGGGTTCAGAGGTCTGTTCTGGAGCCTCACGTCAGTTAGGAGTGGGACATTTCCCAACTTGAAGTTAAGTACTCTTTACTGTCTGAATTTCCAGTCTGAATCCAAGAAGAAGAACCACGGCCCTTCCCTCAATAATACTATCTATGAAGAGGTAAGATTTTGGAGCTCCTTCCGGAGGGGTCTAGTGCCCACAGGATAGCCTGGAAGTTGTACGTTTGTGAAAAAGTCATGCATAGGGTCTCAGAATCGTAGAGGTTTTAGGGATCCCCTAATCCAAATTTTCATTTTAGAGACAAAGAATCTGAAGTCGAAGGAAAGTGAGGGTCTAATTCAAGGTTGTATCACGTGTTGGTGTTGGACTCCCACTGGGGAGCTTGGGTTTTAAATTAGGGCTGTCCTCTGGCTAGTCCCCAGTTGTGGGCTGCACATTGGACGTCTCTCCTTTCCAAGGGTGTGTAGGGCAGGAGTGTGGAGAAGGGAGGATAAGTAAATCTAAACGATTTTCTAAAGTTAGCAAGTAATTGGGGACCATTCTAGGACACAGGTCATCTTAAGCTGCTGCTGGGGGCGGACACTGTAAAGTGACCATTGATCCTGGTAGTTGAATGGATTCCCATCAGGCCATTTAAGGACTGGAAAATAGAGACTCCACAGTTGAGGGTATACCGGAGGTGTATCAGGTGTATTGTAGCCCGACAGTGGTTTCAAGTCAGTTATCTCATTTAATCTTCACAGAATGCTATGGGGGTAGGGATAATTGTACTTCCCACTTCTACTCAGAGAAACGAAGGCATGGAGGGCACTCCCACCCACTAGACTCATGGTACACCAGAGCTTCCACCTGTGGTCCAAGAAAGATGTTGCCAGTGGTCGTGAGGGAGAAGGCGGATGGGTGTCTGCTGGGATTCCTGGCACTGCAGCTGTAGCCCCACATTAACGCCAACTGGACAGCCCAGGGGACAGCCCAGTGTTGTAGGGGGCACTGAGTGGGCCAATGCAATCTAGGATGGGGTCATGGAGAACGGTGGTTAAAAAAAAAACACTAGGATTGGAGCCAGAGGAACTGAATTCAAGCCCCTCCTTTACTTCATATTCGTCGTTGAGCCTGAGTTATTTGTGGTACCACTCCACGTTTCACCTTCTTAATCTGTAAAATGGGGGCAACAATTCATACCTCACAAGGGTGTTGTGAGGCTCTCCTGTGGGAGGGTCTGAAGTTCTTCTTCTCTCCCGCAGGTTGGAAAGAGACAGCTCAAAGCCCAGAACCCAGCTCGACTGAGCCGCAGGGAGCTGGAGAACTTTTCTGTGTATTCCTAGTTGCTGCCGCTGGTCTCCCTTCTCTCACATCCCAGTATCTGCTTTGGGACTCAGCCCAGTGGACGATACCACATGAGTCTACAGAATGGTGCCTGGTCTGGAGAGGATACGGGAGTTCGTTCGGGGTCTATATCTTGTTCTTAACATGATTTCTCTCAGCCAAGACTGTTAAATAATAGCTCTCAACTTACAGACTGGACAAGACTGGGCGGAGAGGTTGGGTAGTTCGCGAAAGACTGCAAAGCAGGTCCACGGGTGGGTGCACCACGAGTCTCTCAAATGCTATGCAAATGCAGAGTGTTGTATTATTAGCATCAAGATCCCTTCCCCTGGATTTCTAATGTGTTCCTCATCTCTCCTCTTCTTTAATCTGAGATGGCCACATTTCTAGACCCTCCCTTGCCCCAGGCCCCTCTTCCAAAGGGGAAGGAAAGATCATGGTGACTCAGGGGGAGAGAAACAGCTCCACCCCACGAGGATGAACTAAGTAGCTGTAAGCTGCCGGCAGGTTCTCCAAGGGACCAGACTTAGGCTGTCCTCAAAAACAGAGGAAAAACTCCCCCACCACATAGTAAACCTTTACCTCTGGCCGCTTGGTCACAAGGGAGAGGGCAGGAGTGAGAGCAGATGGTACAAAGTAAACCCATCTCAGAGTGGAAAAATCACCGTGAGTCCACGCTTCCCAATAATTGGGCCGTGGGACCAGTTTTGTCTGCGGTATGATATGTGATTATTAACCCGTTATTGATTAAAAAACATGTTCAGAAATCTGTCTTAGCTTCTTCACAATTAGAGACCATATTCTGTTCAAGTTCTGAGTGCCGATGAGCGCTCTCCACGGCGCATGCTGGAGGGAGGGCTCAGCCAGCCGAGCAGCTGCGAGTTAGGCACTCTGCTGGGCTCCCAGAGTCCTCGGGCCAGACTCTTCCACCAGGCTGTGGGGCCCAGGCCTGAGACTGGCTGAGCCCAGGAGACGGGTGAGGGTGAACGGGAAGAGGTCCGACTCAGAGACCAGACGCCCTAAGGCAGCATGTGGAGCCTGGTTCTTCAATTACCCCGCTCTGTATTTAACATATGAATTTAACAGAAGACTATGCTGTTATTCGGAGGCAATCTAAATTTCTTTTCTGAATGCTTCCCCTCCGTATTCTGTACTTTTCCTCTCTGTCGTAGCCAAAGGGCAGTTGTGCCCATCACTAAACACATGTCTGATTGATTCCTACGGAGAGGGGTCTGGACTCCTTGCAATCTATCAGGGTCTCCCAGCCTTGTTCACACTGGAGCAGACGATCCCGGGATTCCCAGATCCGGGGCCACTCAGTCTCGTGGGGGAGAGCCACACAGTACACACTTGCTCATGTCCTGCCTGGTCCCTGTCCCCTGGGGGCTGTGTGGCCGGTTGGCTGCCTTCCTCCTGGAGACAGATGTGGACAGACCTCATTTTGGAGGAGGTGTCAGGGCTAAAAACCAGGAAAACATATGCAAAAGGAGTCTGAGGGTTCCGGGGCATGTATTGGGAGCTGAGTTGTAGTGTCAGGAGTCTGGAAGCAGAAGGAGCAGGAAATGATGGGTGTTGGAACAGTTCAGATGAACACCAAAGACATTCGCCATTGACTTGGCCTTTCATGCATCCTGAGTCGTGTAGATATTGAGTTGGCCAGATTTATCTAAGGAGCAGAAGAGACCCCGGGGGCCCAGGGCTTTTGGGGACGCTGTATTCTGGGGTGTAATAATGTACAACATCATCATATTATGTGTCTTCATTGGGCTTCTGAAATAATGCCTTACAAGGATAATTATCCATGCAACGACCAGCCAGCAAACAAGCAGTAATTAAGCTCCTGCTGTGTATGAAGCACTGCTTGGCCCCCGGGGGGTACCCACTGTAGGACACAGATGATTTACTGATTCCACGGCCACGTGCAGGAGAGTATGACAGCAGAATCCCAACGTTAAAGGACATAAATGGGCTTTGAGGTTCCTGGGTGGCTGTCAGTTAAGCATCCGACTTCAGCTCAGGTCACGATCTCATGGTTGGTGGGTTCGAGACCTGCATTGGTCTCTGTGCTGACAGCTCAGAGCCTGGAGCCTGCTTCAGATTCTGCGTCTCCCTCTCTCTGTCTCTGCCCCTCCCCTGCTCGTGCTCGCTCGCTCTCTCTCAAAAATAAAGAAACTTAAATTTAAAAAAAAATGGGCTTCGAGGTGCATGTGACACAAACGTACACTATAGTATCATGAATATAAGTCAAGGGTAGAACAACTCACGGGGATAAGGCTGTGCTACAGTCTGGGGGAGAGGAGACATACTATGACTGTTCTACAGCCGGACCTGACAATAAGGAGGGAAGTTCCTTTGGGTAAATATGGGAAGTTTATGTGGAAGGGGCATTTTAAGCCCTTAAAAAAGATATCCAAAGAATGATACACACATATGATTAAAAAAAGAAATCTGAGGTACAAAAAAGCATACAGTGAAAACAACAACCTAGTTCACTCCCCAGAGGCAGCCCCTGATAAGTTTTTTTGTTATTTTCTTTCAGAGCTTTTGCATAACTACATAAGCATACAGATCTACATTTCTTCGTTTTTATTTTTTTTTAACACGTATTTATTTTTGAGAGAGCGAGAGCGAGGGAGAGAGAGAATCCCAAACAGACTGTGGTGCCAGAGTAGAGCCCGATGTGGGGCTCGAACCCACGAACCATGAGATCATGACCTGAGCCGTAATCAAGAGTCGACTGCTTAACCGACTGAGCCACCCCGGTGCCCCGGTACACATTTCTTCTTTATCCAACTGGTAGCAAGTGACACGTACTGTGTTGGACCCTGTTCTTTCCGTTCTTAGAGCTCATGCCTTAGTAGCACACACTGGTCTTTACAAAAGTGGCAGGGCTTGCTGTTGCCTGGATACGCCATTGGGCATTTAGCCAGATTCTTCCTAAATGGACATTTAGGCTATTTCTGTTCTTTCATTCAATTTTTTTAAGTTTATTTACTTTATTAAAAAAATTTTTTTTCACATTATTTATTTTTGAGAGACAGAGACTGAGCACAAGTGGGGGAGGGGCAGAGAGAGCAGGAGACACAGAATCCCAAGCAGGCTCCAGGCTCTGAGCTGTCAGCACAGAGCCCGATGCGGGGCTTGAACCCCCAAACTGTGAGATCGTGACCTGAGCCGAAGTTGGACGCTCAACCGACTGAGCCACCCAGGCGCCCCTTTTTCAAAGTTTATTTTTGACAGACAGAGACAGAGCATGAATGGAGGAGGGGCTGAGAGAGTGGGAGACACAGAATCGGAAGCAGGCTCCAGGCTCCGAGCCGTCAGCCCAGAGCCTGACGTGGGGCTCGAACTCACGAACAGCGAGACCTGAGCAAAGTCGGCCACTTAATCGACTGAGCCACGCAGGTGCCCCTCTGTCCTTCTATTTTAAAAGATACTGCAGTGGACATAATTTTACACAGATCTTCGTGCCCATGAGTGAGAATATCTGTTGGATCCATTTTATCACCTGTTTAGAAGATGGTGTGAAGGTCCAGGGCCCTTTCAACCACATGTGGCCAGCCTTGGCAAAGCTCTAAGGTGGTGCCTCTGAACTGAGGGGGGTAACTGAGCCTGCGTGGAGATGGATGGAGCAGGGGCATCTTGAAGGCCAGGGACTCCAAGAAGGAGCCTGTGTCTGATCTGTTCATGGGCTTGGGAAGTTACAAGGGTGAAAGGAAGGGCGAGGGTCAAACCCAGGCACCTTTGAGATGCTGAAGGCAGTTCTGAAGTGCTCTGTCTGCAAGAGCATCAGGCCCTACACAGTCCAGAACCCTCTCCGACCACAGGGAGAGAAGCAGCAGCTGCTTTTCTTTTCAGTCCAAATTTTCATAGGTAGGGGTTTCAGGAGACTCCAGATCATTCTGCTGTGGTGGTGGCACCACCTGTGAGCCAAAAGACACGCAAGAATATGGTTAGTAAAGCCTGGGAGGCCCTGGTTTCCTCGCCCCTGTGCCGGTGAGACAGGGAGGTGAGGCCAGGCTAAGATTGGTCCATGGTGTAGAAGTCGGATCATATGGACTGACCCAGCAATGGAACAATCCATCAAGTTGACAGCAGGCATTTATGGGGACTCTCCTAATGGGAAGTTGGCTAGGCTCTCCGCGAGGGAGAGAGAGGACAGTTTAGCGCTGCAAGGTGAGGGGCCACAAAAATGACAATAAAAGGCCTCGCTCTCAAGAAGCCATGGTCTCGTGAACTCAGCCTCTGCCCCAGCTGGAGAATGTAAAGATGTCAAGCTATTTCGGGTGGCAGAGATTATGGATCAAAGTCATGGCCCAGACCAGTAGGCCTTCGTGGTCCCAGGGTTCTGAGGACTCCTTTTCGGAGACTGTTCAGGGAGGGCTCTGAGGAACAGTTGAGATGTGAGCGGATGTGGGGAGCGGGGGAGGCGGGGAGGCGGGGGGGCCGGCAATAGCTTGACGGTGGCTTAAACCTTCGAGATGTCGTGCCGGGACTTGGGTGAGAAAATAAGTTTGAGAATTTCCTGCCCAAGTGGGCGAGAGCCTTAGGGGACCCGGAATCAGGACGGGTCCTCGAAATTCTGAAGGCAAGGGATAAATCCTGTTAAGACCTTGGCTGGGGAAATGCATTGCTTTCCACTTAGGCTGTGGATGAGCGTGGCTGCAGGGGTCTGGAGTCCCTGGGGTGGCGTGGGACCCACGTACCACTGACCGGACACGTGGGGACTCCAGGCCATTCTGAAACTCAGAGCAGGGACTGATGTCCCTGACTTTAAGATTGACGAGTGTTGGCCCAAACACAGAGGGCCAGGTCAGAGAGAATCCAGCGAAAAGTACAGGTGTGGCCTCAAGGTCATAGGTGACGTCCCTCACTGGCTCAGCATAGGCCACGTTCCCACAAGACAAGACAGGAGGCCAATGGTGGTTGAACTGAGCTACACATCTGCACAAACTTTTACTGAGCAAATTCTGCCCAGTTTTTCAAGTTTATTTGAGAGAGAGAGTGTGTGTAAATGCGGGTACCCAAGTGGGGGAGGGGGAGAGGGAGAGAGGGAGGGAGAATCCCAAGCAGGTTCTGCACTATCAGCACAGAGCGCGATTCGGGGCTCGAACCCACGAACCACGAGATCATGACCAGAGCTGAAGTCGGATGTTTAACGGACTGAGCCACCCAGGCGCCCCTCTCTCCATCTTTTAAGGTCTAATTCAAATTAATTTTTTCGTGGAGCCTTTCCTGTCTACCTCAGTGCAGTGGTATCTTCCGCTTCCAATGTCTGGAAAACGCTTGGGAACTGCCCAACTAATGTAGAGTGTCTTCCTTGCCCTTGCAGGTGACTGAAGCAACTCCACTCCTCCACCGAAAGCCAATAAGACAACAGGTCTTCAAGGTTTAGGATGGTGCCTTAAGCACATCTGAATCCCCAGAGCCCTCAGCCCAGTTCTGGGCAAACCAAAGGTGTTCACTAAATGTCTACTGATTGATTCATCAATCACAGGGTAGTAGCATAACTGAAAAGCTTTGAGGTTCTTCTTTTTTAAAGTCTTGTTTTGGGGGTACCTGGGCAGCTCAGTCAGTGGGGCATCCGACTCCTGGTTTTGACTCAGGTCATGATCTCAGGGTCGTGCGATCGAGCCCCGTGTTGGGCTCCACGCTGAGCTTGGAGCCTGCTTGGGGTTCTCTCTTTCCCTCTCTCTGCTTCTCCCCTGCTTGCACGTTCTCTCTCTCTCAAAATAAATAAAATACTCATTTAAAAAATCTTGTTTGGACATGTTTAAACAAGGAGGAAAACAGGGAGGGGATTCTGGAGATTTGAAAGCAAAAGTATGTATGAACCCAATGTTCTCAGGGAAGTGAAAGTGAAGCAGGCAGCTAGATTCAAGCCAAGGTTAATTGTTTAAGATTACTCAGGATTATTTTAAAGCTCCTTGTGGTTTTTAATACTTAAAGTCCAACTACTATCTGTACGACTTTAGGCAAATTTAACTTCTCCGGATCTCGGCTGCGGGATGACAGCACATTTATAGAGCTGTCCTAAGGATCACGCGAGAATATCAATGTTTTGTAAACTGTAAAATTTCGTGTTAAAGTGGGTTATTATTATTATTTAATGGTAAGTTCTACCATTAAGGGATCTTTTAACACCACAATAAAACCAATGTGTTGTAGTTAATGGCACATTCTCCAAAACATCTTGGCATTGGACTCTTGGCTAATTTCTA